TGCTGTAGGGCCGGTACACCCGTCCCGCCATCGTCGGGCCGGCAGTCAGCCGCTGTAACATGTTCAGGAGGGTGTCACACGCTTGCGAGCAAAGCAAAAGAGATTAAGTCTAAGTAAATACATATCATATCCGCACTGCGTTGAGAGTGACCGGAAGAAGAGGTGGGCACGTGTACGTGCGAGCGAGAGAGAGAGAGAGAGAGAGAGAGAGAGAGAGAGAGAGAGAGAGAGAGAGAGAGAGAGAGAGAGAGAGAGAGAGAGAGAGAGAGAGGGAGAAAGAGATGCAGGGGACCGTGTCTCTGCACTGACCGCGTACTCTGCTTCTGGTACGTAGACGAGCAGCTCCGGTCGACCGAACTGGAACAGTAGCTCACGGGAGATGACGGTGCGCACCAGAAACTGGAAGAACACGCTCCGGTGTGCCACCCCGACCAGACGCATACACGGCTCTGAGGGGGGGGGGGGAGGGGAGGGTCAGATAACAGATTCGATCAGGAGCGAGAGGGAGGGTCATGCACCACGTCGTGGGTTCGAATATGAAGAGTCGACCGAAGACACGGACACATGGTCTACGCCGGGTAATGTACGCATTGGAACCATCTGTACCCTTCGGGCGGCCGCGGACCGCCGCCGCCGCCTGACACGTACCGTCCGTCCACTGGCGGTGCCGGCGCCTGACACGTACCGTCTGTCCAGTCGCGGTGCCGCCGTCCGGCGCGTACCGTCCCTCCACTGGCGGTGCCGCCTGACACGTACCGTCCGTCCAGTCGCGGTGCTCCAGGCCGTCCACCACCTTCAGCACGCGCGAGTCGTCCCCGTGAGCGGAGGCGCCGTAAAACTTGGACAGGTGCATCAGGTTCAGCGGAGTTAGACGCACTGCGCCATCCGTCTGCTCCGAGAGCATCTGGACGAAGGATTTCAACAGTGAGACCGATCAGTGATACCTGCGCGCAGACGCAGAGCCGGCCCGAAATACAGCACATTTACAGCGTGGGATGGATTTGGGGTTAATTCCTTCGTATGGCTCTTGGTATGGCTACTGTCAAGAGCCAGACCCGACGGAGAAACATGTAACAACCCACTCAAATGGTCAGATCGGTCATCGAGCAGCCAGCAGCCCTCTCGCTGCTGCCCCAGAGGTCCCCTCACCCTGACACAGTGCTGGAAGGCAGACGTCGTCTCGAAGCCGACGATGCGCCGCACGCCGGCCTCCAGAAGCCGTCGTGTGAGCACCCCTGGGCCGGGCCCCAGCTCCAGGTGGGGGATGTCCAGACTGTGGCCGGACAGGTGCCGCACAACGCTGTCTGCAGCACGGTCACACAGAGTCACACAAAGTCAGAAATGGAGGCAATGGTAAATACAGTGAATGGTCACCATCATCATTTGTGCAACAACCACAAATGTATGTAAGATATTGTGATGTCTCATGAGATGGATAAGCAGCCATGTCCCACTTACCAGCAATAGACTCATTTATGATATAGAACGTCTCCGGGTTGGGCTTGCTCTTGTTCAGCTGAGCATCGAACTGCTGCAGCAGTTTTTGCACTGCTGCAGGCTCCTGTGCCACATGCTCTGCTAGCAACTCTGCCTGTGTCTTTTTCTTTCCCTCCCCTTTCAATTTCTTGGGCTCATTTATCACATCTCCTTCTCCTTCCAGTGGTTGGTGCTGTTTGCTTTTCGCTGTGCCTTTCTGGGCTTGTTTAGGTTTCTTTGGTTCGACATTGTCCTGAGTGGAGCACAATCTTCTGAAAGTGAGAGCCACACAGTATGAGGTCTCACGTGGCAGACGAATGAGCCTGAATAAATGGTGCATCTTCTGTACTTGCTGATGCAGCGACCAAATCTGATTAAACCCTCAAAAGAAGGAACAAACTATGTATCAATGTAATATGGTAGAAACTAGAAGCAGCTGAAAAGTAAACAAAATATAATCAATAAATTCATTGACTGAGACTACTGCAAATTGCAATCCTTTGAAATATGGGGTACCTACAGCCAGAAACACAAACAAAAGCAGTAAATGCCTACCTACCCAAGTAGATAGGTAGGTACCCACCTCCCAGCTCCCTAACTACAGGCTTATACACTACAGCATAAGAAATTAGCATAGAGCAAGAGTATATCCACGTCTAACGGCTATGCACCCTAATCCATCAAGTAGAGCTAGAGCATAGCATGATATTGATATGCTCTACATGATATGATATCCACAATGAGTATAGTTTAGTGAATCCACAAGTAAATGCACCTATGAATCATATCATACTATCAACTAAGCCAAGGCTGAGGCCATCGAACTAAACACTCACCATCGAAGAACTCAAGGCCTATATACCTAAGCACAAAAAACATAGCATCAATATGCACTACCTACTTTTTGCTCATATCAGCACCAATGAAAATATGTTGCGGACGGATCAAAACACAAGTTTGAGGTCAGAAACGGTCCAAGTTGGATGATGCTTACTCATGAGATATACGGCAAAGGAACCTCATGTTTCATAGCAACTTGTAACTTTTTTGCATTTTAAAGCCTTGTTACTAGGCAACACACGATTGTTCGCTGCTTTTGTCTTTCAACAGAACAAAATTAGAGAAGTGCATATGCCGCAAGAGCGCCAGCAAATAAAGGAAGACCGCTACTAAATTATTATTGGCTTATGTATCAACATATGTATTTACATATGTATGTAGTTTATGTACTATATGTAAGGGCAATGACGATCTTTTAAATGGATATTCAGGGTTACTTTTAAAGGGGGGGAAGAGGGGAATTTCCCCCCTTCGAAAATTCCGCTCCCCCTTTCAAATCGTGTCTGAACGGCTAGGGAGGGAAAGGGGAATTTCCCCCTTTCAAATTTATTTTGGAGCCCATTTTCAATCAATTCGCTATTCAGATTCTATAGCCATCGTTAATCAGATTCTCGTCATCAATCAACGTTGCTGGCGTTAAGATAATTATTAATTTTCAATTTTCGGTTCCATCCAACCATTTTACGTTCAGTGCAGCAGGAACTCCAGATTTGACCCGATACCGATCGGATAGTCGGTGGGACCGTCTCTTGTCTTGTCTCTTCCGTCTTTTCGCAGTCACTGACATATCGGTACAGGCGTCGGCGTAGAAACCGGCGGGGGACGGGATTACCTCTCCGAACCAAGGGTGGATACAGGGGGAGGGGGGCAATGGGCCATGGCCCCTCCTTTGACGCAAAAAGAAGGTGACCCCCTTTTGGACCCCCTTTTATATTCTGTGTTCTTTCTCAGAAACGACCCATTTATTCACGATTATTTTCACTTTTTCATCGACGCCAAGGCCAGACATGTAAAATTTTTTGTCCCAATATGACAATGGCCGTGTTTAACCATCCTCCAAACCGGAATCATTGAAGGAAAAACAACGTTATTTTTGTCCCATAGGCATTAAAGCTTTGAGTAATAAATGACTTTTCTCTTTATGCAGCATTCACGTTCATCTGCTTTGCATGCAGAGCAGGGGGCAAAAAAATGTACCTCATCACAGCCGGCTTTCCCAATGGAACTTTCACTGCTCACTAATACTAATAGTAATAATTCAAGTTTTGTGCTTCATTAGTTTTTGTTCGGATATCACTGCCCACCTTGTAGTTGTAGAGGTTGCAGTTTTGTAGCGCCGTCGTTTCTCTACATACACGACCACACAAAGAACTTTGGAATTGCTCGTTAACTGTAGCTTTTGTGAGCGTTTAAGAATTTCATGTTTTTTGCTCATTTTTGCTCGAACAGTTTGACATCAATTACTCCTGACCTAAGGTGACCTAAGACTTGAAATTTTGTGCGAAGGTTTCAAATTGATGCCCGGTAAGGTACTAAAAATTTGGCGGCGCTGCGCGCCGCCGTTTTTCGCTTTTCAAGAAAACCCACATGGGGGCCAAAATGACCTCCAATCAGGGCGCGGATTAACCTCTCTCTTTAGAAAGGCGTTACTTAATGTTTGGCCGGGGTATACCTACTAGTTATTGATACCACTGATAGGTTGATACTACTGATTGGCATTTGCAAGGGCGCAGTCAAGTTGGGACCACCCCCGCCCCTTACAGCCAAGGTAGGTGCGTATATTTTTTAGCAAAATTATTTTTTGGCAACCTTCCAAAATAAAGTGGCTGAAACCCGAGGAAAGAATAGGATTTGGGGGTAGGTAAGGTTCTGCGGGCTCCATCCTAACGAAAAACCTAATGGTATTGCCGCCCACCCCCCTTTCAGATGCCCCTGGATCCGCCTTTGCCCCGAACTTTATTCCCCCTCTCAACTTTTCCTGTAAAAGTAACCCTGTGGATATTAATTTATGGATGAGAAGACACAAATCTTTCCACTCGTTTTCCATAGAATTTACGTCATTGCCGTCAATATTCCTTTGAGCAAGTGGAAAGTAAGCAAAACACAGCTCCTCGCTTGCGACACCCATGTGAATAACGGACACCAAATCAGGGGCCGTATTCACGTCGATCATTTTCGTAAGAATTTTCTTAAGTTTGACCTACTTCTTAAGTAAATTTTTTATTCACGTGAACTCCGTCGATAAAAACTTAAGAAGTCTCGACGTGAATACCAAATTATACTTACGAAAGAAAATCGACTTACGAAGTCGACGTGAATACGGCCCCTGATTTTATTTGCAATGGCAACGACAAATAGCCATGAGTCGCTAGTTGTGCGTTGAAATATGTTTTAGGACAATTTTGATAGGCATCCATTCAATAAAGCGTGACAGCGTCGTTGGTAGGTCCTTATCGGTCTTGCTAGTGCCTAGTTTATACCCCTGTAGGCATGATAAATCAGCCGGCGCCTGTTTTGCAAAGGATAACCATGTAACAAGTGACAAAACGTAAAACGTATGATAGCTGAGAAGGCTCAAATCTGGCAGTATAATAGCAGCTCAGTGGTGCGGCCGCCAGAAGTTGACAGCCGGCCAGATATTCATGCGTCGACGAAGGCTGACTGAACCAGATGAAACGCAGATATCATGGAAACCTATATTAACTACCGATTCGGGTCCATCAAGCAGCAACTGAACGGAACATGAACCAGCCACAAAGGTAGGGAGAACAGTGCGGCCGTGCGTGAACAGCATCAGCACGGCGTGTTCAATATCGGCTACCGTGAGCAGCCGTCGGCCGGCCGGACGCCGGGCGAAAATCAACGACAAATGACAGCTGAAACCCGCTCAGACGTCAGGACTGTTCGCCACACGCAACGCTACCCTATCAGAAACAATACGAAAGGCATTTCACTGAAAGCGTCCGAGCCCGTGTGCCGGTGGCGTGTTGCCGCGTGTTCGGCGGCGCCGCTCGGCCGGTCGGGATTGTGCAGCAGTGGGAGGTCCAGTCGTTTGTGTTCGGTCCTGTCGCGGCCGGCCGTCCGTCTCTCTGGCTGAGGTGAGGGCAGTGCTGGCCGCCGGCAGTCACTGAGGCGGCAGTCGGACCCGCGGCCCGCTCCGGCCGCCGCCGGGCAGACGCGTCTCACAGAGGGCGTCCCCGGCCGCCGGGCGGCAGAGTTCATTTCACCGCGCGAGGACCGTCCGTCTCACAACCGAGCGGCCGCCGCGCGCGCGCCGCTCCTCGCCGCCGCGCGTCACAGCTGTCCCGCAGCGAACGGGCGCGCCACACTCGTCACAGTCGGCCGGTGCAGAGGTGCGCCATAAACGCACACACCGTGCGCCAATCACGTCTGCGCGGCGCCGGTCACATCATTGGGCTATGGGGCGCCGCGCGCGTCCGCCGGCCGCTCAGCGTACAAAAATACCGGCCGTCTGGGGCGGCGGCCGCGGCCGGGCCGCGCCGCGTCACAACGAGTCGAACCACGGGTGTCGCAGGCAGTCGGCAGCCGTGGCGCGCTGCTCCGGGTCAAAGTGCAGCATCGGCAACAGGAACTCGGCGAAGGCGTGCGCCTCGGCCTCGGGCCACTCGTACTTCTCCATCAGAACCTCGTGCAGCGCCCACGGGTTCAGCTTGAAGATGTGACGCAGCTCGCCTGACGAGACAGGAGAGAGGGGAGGCCGTCAGACACAGAGAACAGACACAAACACAGCAAGTAGGGAACTAATGTGTGATCAGACTGTATGAGCAGACTGAACGAGGGCGAATATAACCGATCAGCATCATCATCATGGGAATGATGAATCGCGGATCGAGGCTGCATGATGCGACTTCAACTGATTTGGACCCATTTACAATATGTGAGTGAAAGGGTTCAGCAGTGGAATTACAGTGACAACGAATTACAATTAGTATGGGTCTATGGGTCATCAGCTCCCGGATGGGCGTCTGTCACGTACCTTTCCTATTGAAGAAGTCGCGCGAGTATTTGCCGCTGAACATTATCCGTTTGGGGATGTCTCCCATGAGCTCGATGATGTGCGCGATGTGGTCCTCGTCTCTGCTGTAGTTCTGACCCGTGTGAGGCTCGAACAGGTAGTCGCCGGTGGCCAGCTCAAACGCCATACACGCCGTGGACCAGATGTCGGCCGGGGGACCGTACCCGGCGCCCAGCAGCACCTCAAGGCACCGGTACTGGCGCGTCTGAATGTCCTCCGTGAAATGGTGGTGCTGCGGGCAGATCAGGTCAGGTCAGGTCAGCACCTCCAGACAGCGGAACTGAAGCAGCACAGGTCAGGTTCTCTAGAAAATGCGCAGATGATACGTCAAACACTTGCACAACAGAACACATTGATATTCTAATTAGGAATTTCTACGTAAAATAACGAGCTAACGGACAAAGTTCTTGCTGCGTGTATCCTTCAGTGATATATCTCCCAGCAGTCCGATCAGCCCCGTGAAGACTCGACTGAGGCATCAACACCGTCACGCTATCAGTCCACGGACCGCCTGACCACCCTCACCACTACCACCATCGGCCTCCCGTTCCACGTACCGTCCAGCAGGCGTTTCCGAGGTCGGCGATCTTAACCTGGATGTCGCACACCTCGTGCACGGGGTCGGGTCTCCTGGGCGGGGCTCCGGTCCGCGCCGTGCCGGCACCGTCTGCCGGCAGGGGGGACGGAGCGTCAGTGAGGGGCCGGGCAGGACAGGAGGACAGGGGAGGGGCGGCAGGACGGTCACGGGTCGGAACGGCTGCGGGACGGGGCTGACATACCACAGTCCAAGATGAAATTATTAGTCGGCCGCTACACAAAAGGAAGAGATGGTTCCGCTCAGTCAGTTAAACGTCTTACTCACAGACACATTGGTCATAGGAGAACCCTGAACAGTCTGTCTCTCCGACAACGAACAATACCCAAACACATAATAATAGCCACAGCGCACTGCCCGATATCACCCGTTTTGTCCCAGCCTCGTACCGTCAGCACTGAAAACCGCTCCCACCATAACACACCACATCGAGCCGTGGCCGTACCTGGGAGCGGAGCGATCACCTCGCCGGGCGACCCGGGCGGTCCGTCCCACTGTCCCACCGAGCGGGGAGTGGGACCGGGGGAGAGGACAGGAGCGGGCGCCGGGACAGAGTCCACCTCCTCCTCGTCCTCTGGCAGGCGGCGCATGGAGTCAGGAGGGGAGGTCAGAGGCGGGCAGGACAGGACTGAACTGAGGACAGGTCGGCGGCGCTGGTAGGCGGTCAGACACCAGCAGAACAGCTGATGCATACTGAACAGCAATGTAGTGCAGGACAGAATGGTAAAGAACAGCTAAATCGGGGGAGAGTGTCACCGGATTATAAGGGCCTTGTTACGCGACTGAAGCACCCAGTGAGAACAATGGATGGCGTCCCTGCCCCACCCCATGACTGCCAGTCCCCGGAACCTGACGCAAAGTCAGCCCCACTGAGCGGCCGGCACTAAATGAGCGCCATAAACAACATAGACGGCCACCGCGACCCGTCCACACGGCCCGAAATAGGCCCGGCGGACATCGGCTGGGCCGTCCGTCATACCCCGCGGCCACTGGGGGGACTCGGCTCTGACTGCAGACACCATTGACAGGCACATCCTACGACCTACTGTTCCAGCCCACAAACCCCAGCGAATGGCCTCGTTCATTCAATGAGACGGGTCCCAGACCGAATATCAGGCCACCTCACAAATTATGTGATCGTCTGTCAAATGAAACGTCACCAAATGATGGCCAGAGCTCCTGATACTTAGATGGACACAACAGCCTTACTCCAGAAGCTCCGAACTATTTCCGCGCTGTTGCCAGCGCCATTCACAGATATTCTACATCAAACCATGTTCCCCATTACGTGAACTTCAGGTTCAGCCCTTTACTCAATAAACACACAATATACCCAGTACCCTGGTAGTCCAGAATTGGAGGATCAAAAGCATGCGATAGCATGCTTTTGCATCCGGAAATTCCCATTGGTGGGTCGCTGAAAAAAAGTTCGGCTGAACCTGTTTGTCAGTGAGTATGTGTGTGAGTTTGTCCAAGCTTTTTTGGACCTGGAGTCAAAATGGGTGGACCGATCGGGACGAAAGTGGGACCGTTTGATTCGTCTCCGGCGAGGTAAACTTTTGGTGCTGGCCTCGGTTCGCTCGGTGCTTCGTGGCACATGCTATTCCGCTTCAAAGTTTCGGTGACACGAAATTTTTTGTCAAGGCTACAGGTCAACCGGAGGTCACGGGCAAAGCCATACTGGCGGGACACATCGGTAACACCTTGAACCAGTTTCCAGGGGGGTTACCGTCTGCGAGGGGTGCAGGCTGCACGTGCTGGGGTCGGAAAACCGTTTTGACGTGAGGTCCTCTGGCTCAAAGAAATTTTAAGCTATCAACCTCAAAATCGGTTCAATGGTAGTCCCAGGCAAGGCCTCCAAAATAATGCACATTTGGTTGAGCTAAACTCTGTGGTGCATGAGCTATGCACGTGCAAGCCGATTGCACCCCTTCGTACGTTGCCACGCCTGCAGGGTAAACGGCAGCTCTAACTGGTTCAAAACTTGCAGGTCATAAGAAGAATACATTTGATCACGACATTCCGGCGAGATGATATCTGAGGGGTGCAAGCTGCGCGTGCGGGGGGCGGATAACGGTTTTGACGAGGGATCCTCTGATCCCGGGAAACGTCGATCTAGCGACACAAAAGTCGGTACACTGATAGAACTAGACGCACGCTATAAGAAACAGAAAGATGGCATGGCGCAGCCGCTATTAATGAAGTCATTGGGCTATGGATCCTCCAATTCTGGCCCAAGGCAACGCACGAGCGCTGCCGGCATCTAGTCACAACATGCATTGACAAAACAGGCTACATATAATTACTCCAACTCATACTTCAACCTGCCAACTTTTCAAAGCGACTCAACTTTTCCCAAGACACCTCCGTCCCAACCCGCCCTCCTACCAACTTCTAATGTCAATTACGCCCCCACCAGCCCTCCCCTGTCACCCATCCCAATTCCCATCCCGTCCATCACCCACTCACACCCCCGGCGCCCGTCCAACCTTCGATATCGACCCAGCCGTCACTGTCTCCTCCGTCCGCGGGTGGCGGCGCGCCGTCCCCGCACGCGTCCAGCGGCAGCAGCGGCCGGCGGGCCGGCGGCTCCAGGAGCGCAGAGTCGGACAGCGAGCCGCCCGCCGCCGGGGCGGAGGTCGGCGGCGACACCGGGGCGGGAGGAGGTGGGACAGGAGCGGCAGGAGTCGGAGACGGGGCCGAGACAGGAGCAGGAGGTGAGACCGGAACAGGAGCAGGAACAGAGCCGTCTGGGGAAGGAGACGAGCCTGGGGAGGACGCTGTCAGTGGTGGGTCGTTTGGGTGAGGACAATACTGGGATAGTTATATAGGAAAATGATAGTTTCATAGTTATAGGCAAAGCGACTGAAGGAAAGAATGAAGGTGACGACGTCGGGCAGCGGTAAGGGGTAAGATATGATGTTCCTCAGGTAAACGACAAACCTTGGGATAACCTTGACATTCGCTGAATGCCCCACAGTATCCACAGTCGCCAGCTGACTGCCGCTGATTAGTCCTCCTGCTCCCCCCGTCTGAACTGTCCACTGACCGTCTGCCGCCGCCGGTGTCTCGGGCGGCTCGGCGCCCTGCTCGGCCCGCCGCGCCGGCGCCGCCCCAGCGCTGTCCACCGCCGTCCCGCCGGCCGCCGGTGTCGCCGCGCCCGCCTCCTCCAGGTCGTACGGCAGCGTCACCGTCTCGCCGCCCTGCGCGTGCTCCACCATGCCCACCTCCATGTTGGCCAGACTCTGGCGGTTCGCTGCGGAGGGGCACGTGCGCGCAGGACGGGTTAGGCGCGGCCGACAGCGGCGGGCTCGGCAAGGGCGGCGCAGCATTCAGCTAGTTACAGCAGTGGATAGTGAGGGAGCACTCCACAGTTCATTGTGGATGACAGCCTTTGATGTAGAGACCAGTAATTGTAGTGCTCACTCTACACTCAAAGGTTTCAGTTGAATATCAAACAAGAACAAAAGAGACGTTAGAAATCCACGATGCAAAATGTTTATCGCACACAAGGAAACGCAATTAGCTGAAGATCATCCGGGATGCAGTCTCCAATGTTAAAGCTGGCAGTAGTACGGGCAGAGAGTTTTCGTACCCCGCCCTCCCCAGCTACCCCCTGCGCGCTGCTCACCGGTTTTGACGGCCTCTGCACTGGGGTCGGTGCGGTCGCGCGGGTCGTGCGGCTCGTCCTCGGGCCTCCGGCGGTGGTCGGCCTCCCTCCTCCTCCTCTCCACCGCTCTGTCCTCCTCCCCCTCTGCCGGAGGAGGCGGGGAGGCGGCGTCTCCGTTCACCTTAGTCTCCTCCTGTGTGTCCGCCGCGGGCTGAGCGGCGCCGTTCTGCAGTGGCGCCGGCGCCGGGTCTGCTGCCGGTACTGGATCTGCTGCTGCCGCCGGGTCTGCCGCCGCCGGGTCCGCGGCCGGCGCCGGGTCTGCTGCTGGTGTCGGGTCCGCTGCCGGTGACGAGTCCGCGGCGGCCGGCGCCGGGCTCGCCTCCGCCGTCCCGTTGGTGGGAGCCGGCGGGCCGTCCGTCCCCGTCCCGTTGGTGGCCGCCGGCGGACCGTCCTTCCCTGTCCCGTTGGTCGCTGCCGCCGCCGGCTGACTGCTCTGCCCGCCGGCACCGTTCTCAGAGGCGGCTCCGTTCAACTCCGGGCCGGAGGCGGCAGCAGTCGCGGCGCCGGCCTCGGCGTGCTCCCGCTCCCACTGCTCCGTCAGCTCGGCCATCTGCTCGAGACGCTTGGCCTGCCGCTTGGCCTTCTTCTTCAGCTTCTTCTTCTTGTTTTTGGTGAGTGTGGACGGGTCGGGTTGCTGCAGGTGCTTTGGTGTGGTGGCCACTGCCGAACGGAAGGGGGAGCGTCAGCATGACGTCTGCTTAAACAACTGTTTGCTACCCGTTTTGAATTCATCGCAATAATCATGAGACAAAAGACATACGAACGAAAGAAGCCAGCATCAGACAGGTCTTTCGTCTGCATATATACACGGTCCGCCATTACATCTCTGATCTCCCTGTAACTCACTGAAGGAGCCGGGCAGCTTGGGCCTTATCTCCCTCCCCCTCTCAACTCACTGAAGGGACAGCGGTTGAGTCTATCTCTCCCGCCTAACCCAATGAAGGAGCCGGACAGCAATTCTAGTCCTTTTCCCAGTTACTCACTGAAGGAGCCGGGCAGTTTGAGTCCCATCCTCCGGTTACTCACTGAAGGAGCCGGGCAGTTTGAGTCCCATCCTCCGGTTACTCACTGAAGGAGCCGGGCAGTTTGAGTCCCGTCCCCCGGTTACTCACTGAAGGAGCCGGGCAGTTTGAGTCCCATCTTCTGGACCTGGGCGGCGTCGGCGGCCAGCCGCCGCACCTGCGCCTCGTCCACACAGAGCAGCACGTTCTCCGGCTTTATGTCTGTGTGAATGATCTGACACTTGGTGTGCATGTAGTCCAGGCCCTGCAGCACCTGTCACATGCGAACGGCGGGGTCAGTCGAGGAACCGGGGGCAACCGAAATCAAAGGCCGTAACCGATAACCAGCCGAACCAGTTACACATGCAGTAACCGAATTAAACAACGGTACATACGAGTACAGCGAAATGGAGATGAACGGAAGGAAGTGAAGTGAACAAATGGAAAGGCAACTAGGTATGAACATTGAACAGGTGTGTGTGTGTGGTCAGTGGTCACGTTCCGCTGAGCAATCAGACTAGACTGCAGTTCAGGGTCACCGTCAGTAACTATAAACAGCATGAGTCATCGGCACCCCTTGCCTAGCATGCGGTCGATGTGACGAGAATGGAAAACACTTCGCCCTCGTCCAGCACCAATGTTGACCACCATCCTCAAACACCCGGGCTGGCAGGCCGTCCATTTCAGGCCCAACCCAGCGGCTGACGCGCTCACTGGGACAGGCTGTTACCCGGCGCCTGATTAATTGACCACCAGCGGGGCAGCCTGGCCAACTTCGCAGACCCCGGGAGTGCGACCAGCCGCGGTAATCGATAATTATGTAACGGGGATACGGCAACAAACACCCGACGTAACCCACAGTGCCCGGAGATAGCGCCAAGGGCGGCGTGAGGTTCGGGGAGCAGCATCTCAGCTGTGTCCGCCAAGCTGGCGGCCGGCGGGGACGGTCCCAGATTCACCCACACCGCCCCGGTCTGCTGTCAGTACTACGCTATCGCCCATCGGGGTCCAGGTTTGGTGAGCCCGGCCATTTTCGGCTGCACCCATTCCGTGCCGCGCCCCAGCAGTCAGCGGCATCCACCGCTTACCAAGCAGATCGGCTCGTGAAAACGCTGGCTAATCTACAGCGACAACAAACTGAGACCCGGCTCGGGGTGCTGAGCGTTTAGCTGTTGTACAAATCCCGTAACCCACTCAGTAATGCCTTGTAATGCCCCGCTAAACTCTTCCAAAACCTGACGGCAGCACATCCTGGCACGGATACCGTAACTCAACAGGACATTAACATACCACACGGGTCCAGTCATTTGGTCGGCACGCGGTCGTCGTTCAACATCACGAGCTGGTCCTGCCGTCCACCAAAGAGCTAAGCCCCAAGCCCCGAGCGTATCGCTTCAGCCTAGGAAAGCTACCACTGCCTCTCCGCCTACCCCTCCCCAGAGCACACACTAACCCCGGCGGGCGCACGCACCTGTTTGATGATGGATTTGACGTTCTGCATGGGGATGCCCTGGTAGTTGCTGCGGATGATGAGCTTCAGCAGGTTGTGTCCCAGCACCTCGAACACCATGCAGACGTGGGTGCCGTTGACGCCGTTGATTTTGAAGTCGTCCAGGAGCTGGACGGTCCGCTCCCGCGACGGATCCTCCTCGTCACTGTCACGGACCTGCGGGAAACAGGTCAGTGACTTCAGCGGCAATACACTCCTTGGATGAGTATTGTTGCAGAATTCAGGTCATCACACACGCACACATGTCTCGCGAGAGGAAGGTGCATATTCATATACATTCACGATAGCATTGCGAGGGTGGCGGGAAGACCGATAGAAAGCAGCAAACGCAAAAGGCGGGAGACGCTTTAGTTGCTTTACAGCGAGGACGTGTCAATGGCCGGAGGATGTCACAGGGCCAGAACACTGGCATTTTATGCCTGAGTACGTGAATGTTTGGGTGTGACGCTCGCAACCCCCCCCCCCCCCGCAGTAGCCATCACAGTCGCCGGTATCGTCAGCCCGGTGCGGTGGTAACCCCCGCGGCTATTCCCGTCCCCACCGTCCCCCTGCGCCCGTCGCTGGCGCCGGAACAAAGGCCCGCTCTCGGCTGGATCCCGTCCGTCCGTCCGTCGAGTGGGGACCGCCCGCCGGCCCGGCCCGGGACGGATCACAGCCGTCGGCACCGGCCAGCCAGCGGCGCGGGTACCAGGCGACCGCGACAGGGGTGTAGTGATGTAACACCTCACGACTGAAAACACTAGCCCCAAGGTTCAAACTCAGTGAATTCAGTTGCTTCTTCAATCAACAAAGACGGCTATAGGATCAGTCACTAATCCTGATATTTATCCTAATGGAATTCTGTGTGACCCCTGCAATGAGCTCCCAACCTCCAAATTGTCCCTGCCGCGAGCCCCCTTCGGAAAGACCAATGCCAAGTTCGGCTCAGTAATGAGGAAAGTACGCCAGTATAGGCGAGATCCACGACCCAGAGAGCCACACTTGCGGTCTCGCCTCATCTCTTCAATGACACTGCGGCACGTGGCAGAAGGCAGGAGAGGAGGGGGTGGCCCACAGTTACATAAACCGCACCCAGTTGTGTGATGAAAGCAACATCCTTTGCCTCAATAACACGGCAATATCTGTCTCATCTGGCAAATGGACAACCGTAGCTCAGGAAACGCGCTGGGCCATTTAAACACACTCGCAACGAATTCCGTTGCTCCGGCATTGGTGACGTGCGACTTACGTGCACCATTCCTCCTGGGCCAGTAAAAATAAGCCGCGCCGCTCAGACGCGAAGGGTCCAATTCCTCGGTGACGTCAGCCAGAATACTGCGTCCAAAGGCCGTATCTCAGAGTCCCATCCCCATCCCAGCCCAGCCCACTGGAAGGTGTTCCGGCTCACGCAATCCGCGGACAGGAGAGAGAGGGGGAGGGGGAGGGTGGAGAGAGAGAGAGAGAGGGAGGGAGCAGCGGAGCAGAGATGACAGGTCCGCGAGCCCGGGGCAGCGTTTCAAACAACAAACAGCGCTCGCGTCACCGGCCCTACTGGCGCCCCGCCCGCCATACTAACACATTTGAGCAGTTTGATCTCGTCCAGCGCCGTCTCCGTGTAGTGGCTGGCGCTCTTGACGACCTTCATGGCCACGAACCGCTTGTCCCTGCGGGGCGAAACGGCAGGTCAAAGGTCAGGGTCACAATAGAGGTGCAGCGTAAACGGGGCCACACACCGGGAGGCGAGACCTCATCAACTTGGAAACAGAGAGGAGAACAGCTTCGGACAAAAGCTCTCAACTTGAGTTATGTACTTTTGGGACGCAAGCAGTGTCTACAGTAATCCTACCGATTCTATTCACTACATTGTGATATGCTACAATGTGCATAACAAAACCTTCTCCCATAAAGGCGCATCATGACACAGTTATTCAGTGTTACAAACGTACATACGTTGTAATAACACCGTTACGAGTCATACCAATACAGTCCCGTCATGAATCAGCTGCCCGTTCGAAGCACATCTGCAGCCGAAATACTCGTAAATCCATTCACGAATGGTTCAAGCCATGTAATGGACACGATAGTGGGGCCAATGACAACTGAGTACTGCTGATCTGCATCGGAATATCAAAGCGCGAGCCGCCGTCAAATATTCAGGAACTCATGCAACTGGCCGGCATTACGTAAACCAGTTACCGTTCAGTCGCGGCGCGCACAATGGCAGGAAGAACTGCGCATAAGCCCGGGTACAGAATACCAGCAAACCGGGGGGTACCGCGTACAATCACAGGGTGTTCAGAATACCAACAAACCAGGGGGAACCGCCTACAATCCCAGGACGAACTGTACACAATCCCAGGGGCGTACACACAGTACCCACAAAAAGGGGAGAGCTGCTCCACCGCACAACATAGTAACCCACTGCGAAACAGGTATCAGTTCTCTTTGACAGCATCGCAGCCCATCACAGAGCCAACCGCTCCCTTCCGTCGCCCACCCTGCCGCCGCCGGCTTACCGTATATCCCAGCAGAGCCAGACGGTAGAGAAGTGGCCCCAGCCCAGCTTCCTGATGACGTGGTAGCGGCCGTGGAACATGTCGCCGATCTGCACCGGGTGGTAGCCGCCTGCGGACACGGCCGGCGGGTCAGGGCGGCGCAGCGCCGTCACGGTCGTGGCCGCCGCGGACGCGCTGACCAGCAGCGTCACGGCGGCCGTACAGGCGGGGGTGGACGCGGAGACGGAGCTCCCCGTGGCGGCGCGCAGCCAGCCCGGCGGCGAGCGGTGCCGGTCAGAGGCCGGGTCTCGGAGGGCGGCCTCGGCGGCCCGCTCCCACTCGTGGTCGGCCCGGCGCGGGCACGGCTGCGGCGCCTCCATCACAGCCATTCAGCGGCGACTGGCGAGGGGTCTGGCGGCCACACACCACTGGGGTCCAGCGCCGGTCGGCCGGCTGGCTGACCACCGTCCAGCGCCGCGCCGCCCGCACTGAGCACAGCCCGGTCCTCCGGCACACCACCCACACTCACAGCGCCACAGAGTGCGTGACTGCCCACAGGCCGCGCTGCCGGGCCGCCGCTATCACTCACACCAGCCGGCCGGGGCCCCGGTGCGGCCCTCACTGACCGCCGCGCTGACCGCCGCGCTGACCGCCGCGCTGACCGCCGTGCTGACCGCTGACCACTGGCTGCTGACCAGCCGGACCGGCCGCCGCAGCGGTCCTCATCCATAGGCAGCGGCCAGCCGCAGCGGGCGGCCAGCCGCCGCGGGGGTGCAGTGACGCACATGGCAGGCCGGTCCGTCAGTGGGGTGGGCCGCGCGGCGCACTGGTCAGCGCAGAGTGTCGGGTGCAGCCGCACCAGCACCGCAATTCGCGAGTGTCCGGGAGGGGAGCGTCCAATCACGTGCGTACCCGGTGCACATGTGCATGATCCGGCGCACGTGAGGTGCATGCTGGTGTGTTCAATGGTGACGGGGCCGCCGGGTAGTGCGGTGACTATGATGGAACGGGAACCGCTACTCATATCGGGTCATCAAACTAACTGATAGAGGAGGGGATGAGAGGAGGGGGGGGGGGTTGCGAGTGGCGACCGAGGCAACGACCCAAACAGGAACAACAAACCAGCAGCTCCGAGAATTGATAGAAGATTTACCTAATGCCTTCCCAAGAACATCTATCATCCTTGAACAACTTGAAGCACTAGGAACTTTGTAATAGGCTTCTTTGACTCAGATGATAGCAGATCCTATCTACCGACTTTTGACAACACTTCAAACCAGATTAGGGACATGAATCCGCTACCGTGTCTCTGCAGTCCGTTTTACAGGGGGGCAGTTCATAGAGGCGACAGTGCTGTCAGCTGTCAGACGGTGACAGGGGCCAGGTGTCACTGTCAGCTGAACTGTCTGACAGTGACAGAGGCCAGGTGTCGGACCGTCATCGCCGGCGCGGCAAATGTCGGCGCCGACACTCCCCGGCGGCGACAGAAGCGGCTCTGTCCGACCGGCCGGTCGTCGCTCCGGCCATACGTCCAACACGAGGCTGAAGTTTGCTCCCAGTCGCTGCCCGGGCAATACGTGCGCCACGCAGCCAGTCAGGCACTGCCATCCAGGGTATACCAATGACACAGCGCACGGCCGGGCAGGATGGTGCGACACTCGGGCCACTGAGTGCGGACGCCGCTCCCGGCACCAATGATCGAAATTGAAGTCATCCACGTCCATTGACCGATTATTGTTGGCATCCCATAACACTGTGTCGAGCTGACCAGCTAAGTCGTCAAACACAGCTAATTACACGACACAGAGGTCCATGGACGGGGCACAACTCGCTCCGAGTAGCACGTAGATGGTTAGAGACAAAACCGTTTAGATAAATTATAGGTAGGCAAGCGTTGAACGCGGAATGCATGTTGTAAAGTCCGAGGCACTGGCACCAAAACATCAAGGTAGGTACTTAGTCAGCTCAGAGTACGACGCATGCCAACGAAGAACATTTTACATTTATTTTTTAACATTCAGCGAGCTGCTGATGCAATGAACGGCCACAGCGAACTTTAGGTCGCGTCGTTTCGCTCTTTACTGCGGTGTTGAAATCGATACTCCATTCACCGCGTACCACTGCACCGCGCCCGTCGGGGTAAGGTCAGGCGTGTCATCACCCGCCACTCACACCAGGCTTGTACTCGAGGTCAGGTAAACAGTCGTCCAGCGGGTCCAGTCAGGTCAGGTCAGCGGCCACGAAACAGGCTTATAATCGGAGTCAGGGTCGGGTCAGACCTTTTTGTTTTAGGGTCGAGTAAGGTCAGCTCAGCGGTCACCCACCGGGTTTGTAATGAGAGGTCAGGTCAGCGACCACCCACCAGGTTTGTAGTCAGAGGTTAGGTCAGCGGTCACCCAACGGGCTTGTAGTAGGAGGGTCAGGGTCAGGTCAGGTCAGCAGTCACCTACCGGATTTGTTAACAGAGGTCAGGTCAGCGGTCACCCACCGGGTTTGTAGTCAGAGGTTAGGTCAGGTCAGGTCAGGTCAGGTCAGGTCAGGTCAGGTCAGCGGCCACCCACCGGGCTTGTAGTCGGAGGGTCAGGTCAGGTCAGCGGTCACCCACCGGGTTTGTGGTGAGTCAGGTCAGGTCAGGTCAGGTCAGGTCAGCGGTCACCCACCGGGTTTGTAATCAGAGGTCAGGTCAGCGGCCACCCACCGGGTTTGCAGTCGGAGGTCAGGTCAGGGTCAGGTCAGCGGCCCCTCACCGGGTTTATAGTCAGAGGTTAGGTCAGGCCAGGTCAGGTCAGGTCAGCGGTCACCCACCGGGTTTGTAATCAGAGGTCAGGTCAGCGGTCACCCACCGGGTTTGTAGTCGGAGGGTCAGGTCAGGTCAGGTCAGGTCAGCGGTCACCCACCGGGTTTGTAATCAGAGGTCAGGTCAGCGGTCACCCACCGGGTTTGTAGTCGGAGGGTCAGGTCAGGGTCAGGTCAGCGGCCACCCACCAGGTTTGTTAACGGAGGTCAGGTCAGCGGTCACCCACCGGGTTTGTAGTCGGAGGGTCAGGTCAGGTCAGGTCAGGTCAGGTCAGGTCAGGTCAGCGGTCACCCACCGGGTTTGTAGTCGGAGGGCGCCTCCTGCTCGTCATCGTCCGAGCCGAGGATCTCCTCCTCCTTTTCGTCGTCGCTGCCGATGCTCTCCTTCTCGTCGTCGCTGGCGGCGCTGTCCTTCTCAGAGACGCTCGCCTCCGTCCGCGACGACTCGGTCCTGTCGACACAGACAGTCAGTTACATATACTACTCGGTCCTGGCGGGACATAGTCAGATGCAGGCAAATGGGAGTGGAGTTTTACGGGGTTGGCTGGCTCGACACGAAAGCACCTGTCATCTCCAGAACATGAGACGGAAAGTCACAGGAACATAAACAAACAGAGGTCTGACTCACACAGCTGAGGCTGAGAGAAAGACTGACCATCATCGAAAGGCAGACATGGAGTCGGATGGTAGCTTCTTTTGTTCAGAACGACAGGGCCTACCGCTTAACACCGATCCGTTTATTGGTCATAACATGGTCACCAGGTGGCCGTAAAACGTCAAACTACACGACCCCTACAACTACGATTACCACAGCGGGCAGCGCCAGTAGAGCTCTGAGGACAGGTGGCAGCGCCGTGGTAAACAGCCCTGACCCTGAGCGCCCCCGAGTACCGGGGGAGGGGGACGCTCGGGGGGGGGGCGTTACCATGCACGCCCCAGCGGTCGCCTCAACCGCCCGAGTCGGCGGTGTCACCGATCGATGGCGCCCGTCAGCTGGCCCACCGGGGGTAGGCAGGGGCCCGAGGGGGCCGGGGGGCCGCGGGGGACAGAATCGGCACCGTCGAACAGTCCGGCAGCGCCAGCGGGGCGCCGCAGCTCGGCGGTCAGCTGATCTGAGCGGGAGCCGTCCTCCGGCCAGCAGCACCAGCTGACCGGGCGGCGGCGTCCTCCGGGGGGAGGAGTGCGTGCCGGGGTCATTGCGTGAGGCCGGCTCACACTAACGGTCGCTGCCCGCCGCACCGTCTGACTGACGGATGATCAACGGAGATGAGAGAAGTGAAGGGAGAGGAGGATCCCGGGGACTCGGCAACGGGAGAGGCCTCTCAGAGATACCCGGGGGTAGTGAGGAGACGTGGCGCCAAGGCCGTCCGAGGAAGAAATTAGAAAACCAAACGCTGGCACAACGGAAAACACAGCATTCTGCCACTGGACGGCAAGCGAGCCATACCGCTCCTTTCTCACAGGGCACCCAGCTTCAGCAGTGCGGAGCACACACCACATCCACCAGCAGCACCATTTTGGCACCACTGCACTGACCCCAGTCGGCCTCCTGCCCAGCGGCGCGGCGGCGGCTCGTATCTGGCCGGCTCCCAGAGCGCGGTCACCACCCGCCACAGGAAACGGTACATCCCGGGCCGCACCAGTCACCATCACCACCGACACTGCACCATCACCACCGCCATCACACACCACCGGCACCAGCCATCACCACTGGCACCAGCCCGGCCGCCGCCGCCGCCGACCGCGGGTCAGGTCAGGGCCGGTCGGCGCCGCCCCCGGTGACCGGTCAGCCGACCCGCGGCGGCCGCAGAGGACTGGCGCCGGCCGAGCCGAGCCGAGCCGAGCTCCACACTGCGTGTCTCCTCTGAGAAGGACAGTGGACCGGGGACAGAGGAGCGGGGGCACAGTGAGAGGGGTGTCTCCACCGCCCTGCCCCGACCGCAGACAGACCCAGGCCCTCTGCTAAGCGGCACGCGGGCGGTTCCGTTTGACGCACAGAGGGGCCGGCAGACCGCAGGACGGGACACAGTGGACACACTGGGGCCACAGGACAGGCGGCGGGGACAAACTGGGGACACAGCGGACACACTGGGGTCACAGGACAGCGCGGCGGCGGGGCGCCAGTGAAGGGTATCGGGATCAGCGCAGCGTCCCTGGTCCGGCAGACCAGCCACTCGCCGCCGCACGTCTGTCCGTCCGTCTGCCTGACCGTCCGGCTGGACACCAGGCGACCGCTGACCGGCCGGCTCCGATACCGACAGCACACGGCCGTGTATATTGTTTTTATTGGGGCTTGTATCGGTTCAACGATAACGCGGAGCCAGCAGAACGGCGTCTGGCTTACTAAAATAACCCTTTCTGAAGTATGCCTTTCAAGGTCACTCCGTTATTTTATACTGAGGATGAGAGAATGCCTGACATGGAACTCCACACACCACTTCAATCACAAGCCCAGCCAGACAGACGCAGCCCGTAGTGATGCCAAAGTGTCAGCTCCATTCTGAAATGTTGACATCCGAACGCCGCACGTTTATAAACATAACGAATGAGCTCAGGGTGGGATTCGATTTGAAAACCCGTTGAGACCAGATTCAACACCGACAGTCGCCTATAGCTATCGGCGAACGGGAAATAAAAATAAACAACGCACAATAATATGGTCATGTCTTTAGTCAAACTCGACTGCAAGAATAAAAAAAAAAATGGCTATCCACCAGCACAGAGAAGCGCTGAGTGTTACACCCAGCAGCCGCCCTTGGAAGAAACTGTGTTACAGGCGTTATAACAGAGCCAAGTGATGGCCTGGCAGCCAATCGGTGGCGGCCCATTTCGGGGGAACGGCCGCCCATTTGGCCGGGACTGTCCGACAGCCGACTGCTGCCGTGACAGAGTGGCGGGGCCGCCCGCCGTCCGTCCGCGTCCACACTGCCGCTGACTCGCGGCGCCTGTACGGACCCTACCGGAGAGGGCGGCTCAGACCGGTACTCAGGTAGGCTTTCCTTCCACTCAGTAAACACAGAACTACAGCACACAGAAGTCATACGGCAGCGAAGGGTGACGCATCAGGCAGCAGCAAACAAACACCGAGGATAAAGCAAAGCACCAGATTTTCTATAAGGAAACTACTACAACTGCGGAAATGAGCAGTGGCCTTGCATCATATGCCAACTAGCATTATGACGCAACAGAGTGAACAATAAATAGCACTGAGCTACCTAACTCCCGAGAAAGATGATCAAAGGCGCCGTGCGTGCGGGTCACTGCCGGCCGGCCCGGAAGTGGTCGCTATTTCCGGACTCGGCGCCGCCCAGTTCCGCCGGTTCCGGGTGACGCCGGAGCGGTCACACACGCCGGAGGACGCGCTCAGCCAGGGGAGCGGGGAGGGGCCGTATAACCAGACAAGACGGGGTGTGAGAATTGGCAGGACGGTCCGGAACTACAGGATAGAGGAGCTTTTAGAGAACAGCGGCAGCCGCCAGTGAACTAAGCACAAACCGTGAGCCAATTTAGAGTGTGAGAGTGTTAAGAATGTTAGAGTGTGTTGTATTAAACGCATATTTCCTCAGCTCACTGGTTTTCCCTCGCAGGCACAGATACGGAGCAGGGTTAGGGCTAGGTGCAAACGATCGACAGGCGGTAGCGCGCTGACCCTGCGATCTGCCCAGTTTCATCAGCAGCTCCATAATTGACACCACGGGCCGCAGTGCCCCGTTTTCAGAGCACCGAACGATCGGAAAACGGCACGCATTGATTGGCAATTCGCGCACAGAGAACTTTCACCGCCGATATTCGTCGTTGCAATACGGCGACTCTCAATTGGATTACTGGCCTGGCTGCAGAGCAACGGGATTCTATTGGAGTTCCAAGAAACCTACGATTCGATTACTGAGTAACAATCGAATCATTGTAAGACGGGAATAATTGGCAACTACCCATATCTCGCCTCCCTTTGATCATTTGTGCTGAGGGCCGTCCGCCTTCCTTTGATCTCTCACGATACGGTTATGCGGTACCTTTGCACCTGTGAGTGCCATAATTGCATCAACTGGCACTGAGCACGGTGCGGTACTCCCCTCGCTGCAGGACGGCCCTGTCTCCCCCAGTTTCTGCAGCCTCGACCGGTGTCACCGCCGCTGCCGCCGCAGACGTGTCGGTTGACTACAGCCACGCCCCCATCCCCCCTTCCCCTGAGGGGGCGGGTAGGGGTAGATCGATCCGCCGTCGAGAGGACCGACCGAGTTGGGATCGAGGCGACCAGCTGCCGCGGGGAAGGGAAGGGAGGTCTGACCGGCTGAGTAAGATCCGCGGCGACCAGCTGCCTACCGCCGCCGGCGTCTGACCGACAGCGGGTTATCAGTGCCCCTTACCGCGGTACTTTGACCTTCCTGTCAGCGGACTGCTATCAGTATTACCACCGGAGCAGTGCCATCCTTGCCGAGCGGCGGAGAGGTCAGTATTTCCGACACAAACAGCTGGTGAAAGAGGTGACCTCCGCATGAGTCAGACTCCTCCAACGGCGCAGCACTCAGCAGTCAGCGTCCCTCGCAGCTGGCGAAGCAGCGACCTCCGCCGCCGGCTGGAGATGACATTTTTCGGTCACCAGCAGCCGTCTCCGATCCGGGGAGTGACGGGAAGCAGCTGGCTGCACAGAGCTGCGCAGAGCCGCTGAGTCGTCGGCCGACCTTGGGTGGGCAGAGGATGTGACGCCGCCGCTCTACCGTCTCATTAGAGCAAACTGCGGCGAAGGGGTGGCAGCACACACTCGGGGAGCGGCCCGTGCGACCCTCAGTGGTCCCTGGGACAGCGCGGCGCCTCATGCTGGGGTGGGTAAATGTTTTACGGTCCGGGCGGCAGCTATAAACCAACGAGGGGCGTGCTGGCCACGAGCGAAAACACGGGACGTCAGAGGAGAAAACAGCGGCAGAGGCACGGCGCGCTCACGAACACGGAAATAAGCTGAGCCGGGGAGGTGTTACCAAGGTGCCTCCGACAGGCCCGCGGAAATCAGCAGGAAATCGGCCGCTGGGGAATACAGGCTGATGGAGCATTTACCCACATGGAGTGACTGGCAGGCAGAACGGTGGCGGCAGAGCTATCAGCCGAAACTCGTCCCTGGGAGTTAGCAGAGGAGTTAGCAATCATTCGCCTACTGCGGCCAGGCTATCAACACAATAGCAGCTCGCCAGAAAAACACGGCCTTGACACCCAACACGGCCTGGGGGAGCGCCAGCGGACGAATGGGTCATTTCAGTCAGCTATAAACGGTCCGGATGGGCCGGCAGACCCCACCATACGACAATAAGAGCGCGGCTAGGCCAGTCTGGGCCGGCAGACCCCACCATACGACAATACTAGAAAGTCCTAGGTCAGTCCGTTAGCCAGAAGCCGCAGTACAATGGCAAGACGCAAACAAAACACAACTGCGATATGTCCGGTGATCAGCCTTATGAA